CCATCCATGTGCTATCATTCCATATTAGCTTTCCAGTCCAATTTGACATCAACTATGGAAAAGACAAGGTGTACAGAACTACTACAGATACCTAGCTGGGCTGAAGAAGGAGGATCTTTGTGAGTTCAAGGCCAGCCTGGTCTACAAGAGCTAGTTCTAGGATAGGCACCAAAGCTACACAGAGAAACCCTGACTCAATAAACCAAATAAATAAATTAGACAAAAAGAAGAAAATAAAAGATACTACAGATACCTTAGGTGAAAGAATAAAGTTCTTGCCTCAAGAAACTTGTGATCAGAGGTGGTGAGACATGAATTCCAGTGGCCACGCTGGACAGCAGATGACAGTGTCCTTGTAGGAAGACTTAACTCAGTATGTCTACATTGCTCACATTTGGCACCCTACGCCCAAGTTTAGTTATGGAACTGTTTCTTGTCTGACTCTAATAGCTAACTGCCACATCTTTAGGATGCTCTGCTTGCTTATGGCTATGAGAGTTTCTTTCTTTTTTTTTTCTTGGTTTTTCGAGACAGGGTTTCTCTGTGGTTTTGGAGCCTGTCCTGGAACTAGCTCTTGTAGACCAGGCTGGTCTCGAACTCACAAAGATCCGCCTGCCTCTGCCTCCCAAGTGCTGGGATTAAAGGCGTGGGCCACCACTGCCCGGCTTGAGAGTTTCTTATTTGTATCTTTGAATATGTCCAGGTCCAAGTGGTTCCAGTTCTATCAGATATTTTATGGCATTGATACAGTTTATTGTCCACCCTTGGTCTGGAGGGATGATGCCTTAGGAAAAGGTGCAGCCAGTTACTGTTGCAGAATATTTGTTTACTCTGTGAAGATGTGTCTATGCCAAGGTGCCTTCTGATTGGCTTAATAAAGAGTTGATTGACCAATAACTAGGCAGGAAGAGGTTAGGTGGGACTTCTGTGGACAGATAGGATTTTGGGAAGAAGAGAGGCAGAGATGCCAGGAGACACAGAGCTAGAAGGATATGCAGGAGGAGAGATAACAGCCACAGACCATGTGTCAGAATGTAGATTAATATTAATGGTTAATTTAGTTATAATATCTAGTTATGAACAAGCCAAAACTATAGGACAAATTTTCATAATTAAATAAGAAGTTCTTCTGTCATTATTTGGGAACTTGCTGGCAGGACAGAGAAAGACTTGTTATAAGTTACACTAGTGAAACATGGTTATTTGATTGAACTCCAATAAAAGAATTGGGTGCCTAGACTAAAGTAAGTGACTTTTCACGTGTTGTTACATAAATATATATATTTACTGAAGAAGTAAGACTACCCTATGCAAGTCACCTGGGAGGGACCACCTGGAAGTCTACACTAAACTAATTAACTTGGTCCTATAAGCCTTTTTTCTTTCCTTGCATGAATTTTCTTCACATTTGCTACAGTAAATTGTAACTACGAGCATACAATTTCAGAGTTCTTAAGGCCATTACAGCATTGCTAGCCTGAGGTTGGACATGGGAGCTCCAGTGTAGTGTTATGTAAGGGATGTCAGTTATAGTGCAGTGGGAATTCCTTTCCTCACAACCAAAATATTATTTAATAGTATTAGCCTATGCAAGGTATAACTCAGTGACTTACACACGAATTCAGATGTTATTTCTCTTACATTCACACAAGATTTTGCTTATTCTTTAATTGAAGGGACTATGCTATGAATAGAAATCTTAAAATACTCCTTAAATTTCAACTCCTGGCTTCACACCTAATGGGTTATCATGATATTATAATTCTATAAAATCTCTCCTGCCTCAGACCGCATATTAAGATAAGCATGTGATCTCACTATTTCTCAGAGTGGACTCTTTTTGATCTTTAAAAGTTCTTTTGTCTTTATTTTTTTTTAAATTCTTCTTTTCTTGTTGATTTTATTTGAGCTATATATTTTTCTCTCCTCCTCTTCCTCTACCCTCCCCTTCAGCCCTTTCCCATGGTCCCCATGCTCTTAATTTGCTCAGGATATCTTGTTTTTTTTCTACTTCCCATGTAGTTTAGATCCATTTATGTCTCTCTTAGGGTCCTCACTGTTGTCTAGGTTCTCTGGGATTGTGATTTGCAGGCTGCTTTTTCTTTGAGTTATGTTCACAAACCACTTGTGAGTGGTGAGTACATATGATAATTGTCTTTCAGGGTCTGGGTTAGCTCACTGAATATGATGTTTGCTAGATCCATTCATTTGCCTGCAAATTTCAAGATGTCATTATTCTTTTCTGCTACGTAGAACTTCATAGTGTAAATGTATCACATTTTCCTTATTCATTCTTTGGTCAGTGTAAAAAATTGCACTGTTTCCAAATTCTGGCTATGACAAACAGTGCTCTTATGGACATAGCATGTCCTTGTGATATGATTGAGCATTCTTTGGGTATATATCCAAAAGTGGTATTGCTGGGTCTTGAGGAAGGCTGTTTCCTAATTTTCTGAGAAATCTTCATACTGATATCCCAAGGGGCTGTGCCAGATAGCACTCCCACCAGCAATGCAAGAGTCTTCCCTTTATCCCATAATCTCTCCAGCATAAGCATAAGCTTTCATCTATGTTTTTGATCTTGACCATTCTTACAGGTATAAGATGGAATCCCAGGGTTGTTTTGATTTGCATTTCTCTGATGACTAAGGATGCTGTTGAGCGTTTCCATTAGTGTCTTACAGCCATTTTAGATTCCTCTGTTGAGAGTTTCAGTCTGTACCCCATTTTTTGTTGGATTATTTGTTCTTTTGATGACTAATTTCTTGAGTTTTTTGTATATTTTGGAGATCAGGCCTCTGTCTCATGTTGATGAAGGTCTTTTCCCATTGTGTAGGCTGCTGTTTTGTCTTTTTGACCGTGTCCTTTGCCTTACAGAAGCTTTTCAGTTTTAGGAGGTCCCATTTATTATTTGTTTCTCTCAGTATCTGTGCTACTGGGGTTATATTTAGAAAGTGATCTCCTGTGCCAATGCATTCAAGTGTCCTTCCCACTTTCTCTTCTTCAGTATGGGGTGGCTTTATGTTGAGGGCTTTGATCTGTTTGGACTTGAGTTTTGGGCATAATTTGTTAGATATTCTTTCTTTTTTCTATTTTCTATTTATGTTTGTTTGTCAAAAATCAGGTATTTGTAGATTTTGGGTTAATATCCGGGTCTTCAATTTGGTTCCACTGGTCCTCCTGACTGTTTTTAAACCAATACCAGGCTGTTTTCAGTACTGTAGCTCTGTAGTAGAGTTTGAAGTCAGGCATTGTGATAGTTCCAGAAGTTCTTTTATTGAACAGTATTGCTTTATGCCTTTATTTTTTAAATGTCTTCTCTCAAACCTAAAAATTTGAGCTCCCATGTTTTCTCCTTGGATTTGTCCAGTCTCTCTCATCTGGCAACAATAAATGCTTCCTGCCTACAGATCTCTCAATTGTTAGTCTACAGAGAATTACTTATCAAGGATTACAATGTTTTATGAGAGTGACATGTCTGTTTCTTTTGTGGTCTGTGAGTTTCTAGGTGTGATTTTTGTTCTAACTACCTTGCATAATGTCTGATGCTCCACAGTCACTAAGAGGATGTTTATTAGATGAGATGACATGGTCCTACTCTATAGAAAAAGCTATCAGATGACAAAAATTCTCAAGCATAATGGTTTCATCAATAACATTTATTTAGTATTTGATACCAACAGTATTATCTTAGTCTGAGCCTCATTGTATTAATCAATAGCCACAATCAGAGAGATTCTCCTAAACATTTGTGTCCTTGAATGAAACTTACTGCCAGAAATCAAACTTCTCAATATGATTCAAATAAAATTCTTAGGTGCTCCTACCTCCACTTGTATACCTCCAACCGGACCAGAGAGAGACCCTATAAATTCATAGTTTTTCTATCATAAATGATTAGCCAAAATACCTACTGTTCAACTGGAATAACGTATCTCTTATTTGAACTTCTGTTAAACGTGGGCACCTACACTGTCGCCTGGTTTCCTCCTTTCAGTTGTCTGATGGAATAAAATATTCTATGATCTACTCTCTGGTCATGATGCTTGGATGCTTAAGTGTCACCCTTTCTAGCCCGCTCATTCCTCTTTATTAAAGAAAACTGGCTTTAGCCCGACTGCTTAAAAAGCTGATGGTTAGGAGTCTTCACTAGCTACTAATTAGCTACTAATCCCTCAATAATCTTTTCAACTAATGTCTACCCATGAGAGTGACTAGGGTTTTTTTTTTTTTTAATTTGATGACATCCTTTAGCTGACAGGAGAATTCTTGATGATCTAAGCATGTGCATGGCTATGTTCTTTTGCAAGTTAACTGCCTATGACTTTCACTGTTTAATTTGGATATACTCGAGCAATTTTCTTCGATTCAAAAAGCACTGATACATTTTTCTATAACTTTGATGAATGAATTCATCTTGTTTACTTGTGTGATAGACTCCATGTTTGTTTTATATGTCTTTCTCTGGTCTCCAAGGTTTTGTTTAAAGGCTGCTGCCCCCAGGAGCTGCGGATAGGGCATGCTTTGTTTTCTGTTCCTTACTGAGACTCCTTTAACCCCAGAGGATTCAGGTCCTCTTGCTGTTACTCACTGGGGCTCCCATCCTGTTTCTCCTCTTCATTCACTCCTCTTGTTGGTCCTCAGTCAGCCTTGACTTTGTACCCTGAGAGTCATTTGGCAATGTTGGGAAGCATTCTTGATTGCTTCATTCAGGAAGAGGCAATTTTTATTATCTAATTGGAAGAGACCAAGATGCAACCCAACACCCTACAATGTCCAAGAGAATACCCCACACCAAAAAATTATCATGTTTCAAATGTGTACGGTTCCAAAGTTGATGAACAATGATTTACAATGACTATTCCCTATGCTAACAGATCATCTTAAATATTTACTTTATCAACAATTGAAATCAAGACAGAAAAACTTATCTAAGTAGCATACCTGTCTTTATCTATTCACAGTGTGATTGTTTTATTCTTGTAGCTAAATTTCTTAAAGCTCTAGTTCCAGGAGTTCAGCAGAAAAGACTGAACAACAGTTTTGCAACAGATATTTATTGATAAATTTGCAACATTAGGTACAACACATGGTTACATCCAGTATTTGTGCTTTGGAGGGTAAGTAAACATTTATTGGAGCACAACAAGAATTTACACACAATATTTTAGGATTCTTTGAACAATAAAAATATCATTTCCTATGTATTAGCACAAAGAAGCACAGTTCAGTTTGAGATGATAGCTGCGTTTCAAAACCTGGATAATGCATCAGATCAAACATACACCTAAACCTGGACCATCTGCATGATAAATGCACACTGAGGTCTGAAAAAAGATTCCTGCCATGGGTGCGGGGGAGGGCTATGGATTTCCAGCAAGCTTTCTTGTATTCTTAGGATGCAACTGATAGGGCAGAAAGCTTGGTATGGGGCTGGCTCACAATCACAGGTATTCTGTAAGCTTTAAAAATAGAACAAAAGCATACTGTTTTGGAAGATACATACTAACCATCTTCCTGATTGAGAAAATAAAAATGAGTGTAGTATATTTAGTTGGAAGGGAAGAGATCCTTTAGGGTCCTATAGATATTTTGTGTTTTCAAAGGAGTATATCTCTGCTATGAATTTGTAAAACGTGATAAACGCTTCTATTTGTCTAATTTAGTGTCATTATCACCCAGCCTGGAAGTCTGTATTCCTGGCTGTCCCTGCCAAGCACAAGGCCATTACCCTGCATCCATCATTGCAAATGTCTTTGGAGAAGCATGCCAGCAATTACAGATGGCAACACATTCACCCTACAATCAGCCAACAAACTTCATGACACTCTACAACTTGAGACAACAAGTTTTCATGGTTTATGAAGCTCCAAGTCAACTCAATATATTATTTAGATATAGTCTTTTCATAATTTACAATAAAACAAAATGTTTTTTCTCATATAACTCAATACACAAGCTTACTTTATTTTAAAAGACTACTATTTATTTCATTGTTTACTTTTAAAATCTTGTCTTTAGGCAAGAATTCCATAATGATTTTACTCAAGTCATAAATGTAGTGATGGAAAGAAGGCGACCTTGAGCTTGAACGACAGTAGTCTTCTGAGGAGCTCAGGGGTGATTGGGAGGAGGGGCAATACTTATCCGCCACTGCAAACAAATGAAATCACTTCCCATGGATGCTGCTAACACTGATGCAAGAGTGTTAGTACTCACTGATATTCATCTGAGGGTTGAAATCTTTTATATAAAGGCATGGAAACTTACAACTATATCCCAAGTATTTCCTTGGGTGAACAACCCATGTACCTGCTAAGCAAAGTGCAATGAAGGTTTTAGAATAATTTGTAAAATTTTTGTGACCCAATGACTTTATTTCTTTTTGATTCACATAGCTGGAGAAATTATAGATCACTCTATATTGTGACATATATGCGGGTGTAGCTTTTCTGGAAGAGGGGCTTGTTATAAACTTTCCTGTTTGTGCCCCAGTAAAAGTATCTCTCTTTAAAACTATTTTCATTTAAGCTCCTTTGGACAAGCCTGTGGTGAAATTGATTGGCACAGACTTGTATTTCACTTTCTCTAGGACTTATTCCTTGTCCATGGTAGCGGAGCAGGCTTTTAAATAGTTCTGCTAATGGGATGCAGTGTATTGAGAAAATTCAGAGCATTTAGCGCAAACCACTGTAACCTATGCTGGGTTAGAGGAAGGAAAGTCTTTGCAGGGTGCACCTGACTTATCCTAGTTCCAGGAGCCAGTCAAAGAGAGTCGGAGTCCCCTCTTTCTTCTCCGCGTGCATTTTGCAGTACTGGACAACCGCATGAAATATATCTCCCACCTTCCAGGACTTCTGATGAACAAGCTTCACAACTTCTAGAAACTAAAAGAAGACACAGAGTTAGGACTCACATATTATACTGTCCTGACCAGCATCTCACGGAGCAAACCTTCCAAAGACTGGGGCTCCGAGTCTGTGTTTCAGCATCTTTACTCTCAGCGGACATATTCAAAGTATTCTGTTTCCCTTTCAGACATTTTAGATAATGAAATCCTCCCAATTTGCAGTTCTATTCATAGTGGAGGACTGGGCAGAACAAGGAGAGGCAATATTTTAGGTAGCTAGTGTTTTTTCAGGTTAAGTATTTTTTTTTTTAATCTGGGTTAGACTTCTTGCACCAAGATTGCAAAACAATTTCTTACTAGATGTGTGCATTAGGGAAAATAAATTGAGTATTAAATTTCTGGTTCACCCAATGCGTCCACATTCAATAATGATAGACACCTCTCCCTCCCCATGCTAAGATTAATCATCAAGATGTTTCTCTATAGCAATTGTTACAGGAAAACAAGGACACACCATAGATTTGTCATATAGTAATAGTACCAGTTTCAGTTGGTCATAACAGAAAATTCTAGAATGTAAATGAATGTTGGGCTTAAGATTTTCTCTGGCAGAGTCTAAATAATCAATCTTTGTAGGCTGGAAAATGAAATACTTTAAATATCTGGAAACAAATATTGTCAAAGAGTCTTAGGTTCTTGAAAAAGAAGGCAAATGTCCATTGTATTAAGGCTATTTCTCTCCCTAGAGTAGGGCACTATCTTGGTCATGGTTTTCTATCCTTTGCCTGTAGTAAAGAGAGAATCAATTAATATTTGTTCAATGACAGAAAGTATATTAGGCCAAATGGAGTCAAATACATTGTAACTTCTCAAAAATATGGGTAGACATCAAATATCATTGAGGATAAGCCCACTCCTGAAAGGATTCTTTAGTTTTAGGTAGCACATTTGTATACATATAATTCAAAAACCGAACACGCAAACCTATGTAATGGATGCTCAATAATTCTCTACTAAATGAAACTTTATGAAGATGCTTGGAGGTCATGGATTTTGGAGTGGGAAATGACAGCCACAAGTTTCTACAAACAAGATGGCCACAGGGCTTCTGTACCCTGACACAGTAACTGAGAGCAGCGCTCGAGTCACTGAGGTGGGAAGTTCATGACCTCATTTCATTACTCACGACAACAGCAATGGGAGTCCAGTGTATTTGGCTGCATGTGTCTTTGCTGTACTTTTAGAAAAATCACTAGTTATCTGGGATGCCTCTCCCTCCTGTTTGGTTTCTTCTCTGCCTGATGCTGACCCCTGGGGACAGATGTGATCCCTTCATAGGAAGGCTTTGTTTACAATGCAGATGCCCTGAGAAATGAATGGTAGAAGGGAGGTGGCTGGTTTATGGACACACGGGAGAATGGCTTTGAGAGCTGTTACGTACATCTTAGTGTGTATATAAACTCAAGTCATGTTTTGAATGGAACAAGAGTGCAAACGGGGCTTTAGAGAATTATGTGAGTAAAGGGGGTAAAGGAGGCTAGGGCATCCAGATAATTCAAATAGTTAAGATTCCTTAGCTCTGACTGGAAATCTGAGGGATGGACAGATGTCAAGCCTGGACATTAAGCTTCTGAAAAGTCTTTGAGAGATGCTCACATAAGCCATTGGCTTCTTGTTCAGGATTTCCCTGAAGGATTACACAAAACCTTTGGCCAAGATGGTTTATTAAGGATACATCTTTTTTCTTCACACATTAATGTCAAGTCAGAGAAAAGTCGACATACATTGAATTTGGCACAGCTGCTTTCTGTAAACTGCAGTTTACTCTGTCACCACCCTCCCACTTATGTCTCCGAATCACAGCATAAGGGAGGACTCTGAGGAATATACTCTTTGCAGAAACCTCTATGCCTCAAATCTTCCCAGAAGTCAGATTTCAGCTCCTTTCCATCTACAGTGGCCTTAGAAAAAGGAATGTTCATAGTGGTGAGAACCAAAAAATGCCAATGAATGACCTGACATTTTTAAAGTGTACCAGAGTTAGGCCACTTAGCTAATAGTTGTGGAATGGCCATTGGCTAGAATGCATCTGCTAATTTCTAAGGTCTGTTTGTTTCTCATTAGACTTCTTTGGATGTTTTGCTTTCAGTGATTGCTTTTGTTTCTGAGACAGGATTGTCTTATGGAGCCTTGGCTATCCTAGAATTTGCCAGGGTGACCTCACATTGATAGTGGTCCTCTTGGTTTAGCCTTCTAGGTACAAGGATCATAGGAGTGTGTCATCATGCTTCTTCACTAAGCATCTCTAGAAAGATGATCTGACCCTACTGATGCAGCAGCTGAGCTGGGTCCTGAAGCTTTGAAACATGTGTGGAGCTGATGAGCATGAGCATCTTGTGTTTCCTCCATAAAAAATAGTAAACGTGTGTCAAGGTTGTGAATAGACAGAGAGAACATTTTATCCTAGTATTGCAGTCTTTCCTGCCCCCACCCTGTGGTACTTAGGATATAATTCAGGATGCTGCGCTTGCTAGTAAAGAGCTCTCCCATAAGCTGCATCATCAACCATCTTTCAATTTTGTGTTTTGAGACAAGGACTTACTAAGTTACTCAAGGTCACCATGAACTCTTCGACCCAGATTGAACTTGAATTTGCAGTTCTTGTGGCTCAGACTCCCTAGTGGCTGGGATTTATGAGCTAGCCCCATCAGGTCCAGTTTATTGTTCTGTTTTTAGAACTACATTCTACTTAGTAATTGACCCTAGAGCTTTCATTAAGCCTCCTCATGTTATGGCCATGATCGGCTTTAGTATATCAGGGATTTGTACGTTTAGCCTGCTCCACTAAAAAACAAACATCAACCAAACATTTCTGTACTGAATCAGCAATAACTTGGTTTTTTTTTCCTGTAGACTACAGAAGACTTTAGACCTTAGGAAGCTCAAGAGCATCTGCATTCTGTGACAGTTTATCACGAGCAGACACACCTTGAGAAAAACACCACAGTCCAGAGCAGACCTTCATATTCTCAGGTGCATTCTGCAGATTTGATTGTTTACAGTCCATGGTAGAATTACAGGAACTGCAGCAAACTGTCTTCTTTTTTTAAAAGACACCTTCAATGTACTCTTCTGAATGCTCTCACTGTCTTTTACTCCAAGACACAAATTAGATTTTATTAAGCAAGAGTGAGTGAACCCCTACTTTGTCCCTGAGGTTATGGCCTGTAAAACCTGAGTCTTAAGTTTGGTTGGATCCTGGAATTCTAGACTTTCACCAGGACCTGGGATTTGGGTTTTATCTCCAGTGGAAATTCTGAACTAACAGGTAAGGTTCTGGGTTTGGAAGACTTTCTGGGGTGACTCTAAAACTCCCCGATTGGTGATTTTTGATGAAAGGATTAATGCAAGAAAGTGTATTTTGTTTGCTAATTAAAACCTTTAGGATCTAATTTGTACACCCTTCACTTTTCTTTATATGCCTTTACTCACAACTGATACTTTAACTAGAGTTTGTTTCTGTGTTTTCAGAAGTCAGGATCATCAGTCTTTCCTCTCGTTCTCCCTCCACCACTTTCCTCATAGAATAGAAGAAGAAATTAGAGAGGAGACCTTTTCTGTTCTGACTCTCCCTCCATTGGAAGGCAAGGGTCTATCTATTTCCTCTTTCTTCACGATCCTTTTTGCATACTGCTTCCAAGAAAAAAACATGATTCTCAATGCAGATTTGAAGATGAGCAGTATGTCATGTTTATTCTAATGCCAGGCCAAGGGTTAGCTCAGATTTCAGAAGCTCACTGAGTTTTTACAGGAAAAAAAAAAAAAGCTGAAAAGCAAACTCCCAAATAAAAAACCCAATAAACCCTGACAAGTAGCTCATTTAAAATTATTTTAAATAATTATGGTAATGACAGTTTATTTATTATTTATTGTTATTTTGGTCAGCTAACTGAATTAAATTGATTTGATTCCAAGGTTGTAAAGACTTAAGTTTGTGAACTGTTTTAGGTTATGAGGTGTCAGAGGTATCAGGAGTGTTCCCCTGAAAAGTGCCTTGGCGTTAGTGGTTTTCCATTGACTAGAAGGAACATAGGAATTTGAGTTGTGAATGTGTCTTCCAGCTGATTCTGTTTTGTTCCCCTTTAGCTCATGGGTGTGGTTTAGATATCAACTTTGCAGATGCATTTTGATTTGCTTATTCAGAATCAACTTCACGCTATCTTGATGTGGCTGTTTAAACACTGTGATCTTTCCATGTGCTCTAGAGACAGATGATATTTCTTCCTGAACTGAAATGCAAGCTCCAAGATACCAGGAGCACTCACTTCTTTTGTAACCTGGGATGTGGAGCTTAGAACAGAACCCGGCTTGGTGAGGTTACTCTAGTAATGTTTGATGGATGATTTTAAATGTATGATTTTCAAGGGCATGCAGCCTTCTAATGATTAAATAAAATACAAATGAACGGGGAAGGCTGGGAAATAAAGACACCATGAGTCACTAGAACCTACAATACACATTGAGCATCTGGAGTACTTGGAATTTGCCGTTTCTGGGATTTAGTTTTTATTGTCCTTAAGTGTCTTCCAGATTCAAGGCCAAGTTTTCAAGGCATCTCAGGAAAGATGCATTGCTCTAGTGTTCATGCTGGTCTCCTCCCGTTTACCACATGCCTCTGTTTTTACAAAGCTGGAAGTTTAGTAAGCAGAGACCACTATACATAGATGCATAATTGCTGTGGAACAATATTTTTTTTATCCTGTCACTTGTATTATTTTTAATAGAATGCTAATTGGCCAGTAGCCAGGCAGGAAGCATAGGCGGGACAACCATGCAGGAAGTAGAGGCAGGGCAATGAAAATTCTGGAAACAGGGAAGTTTAAGTCTGCAGTTGTTACCCAGACACAGAGGACACAAGATGTGACTGCCATGCCAAAAAAGTTAGCCACATGGCTAACTCAGACAAGAATTATGGGCTAATGTAAGTTATAAGAATTAGTTAATAAGAAGTCTGAGCAAATCGGACCATCAATTTATAACTAATGTAGACCTCTGTGTGATTCTTTGGGACTTAACTGCTGCAGGACTGGGCAGGACAGAAAACCTTGGTCAACACATATTGACTATATTAATTGTTGAGAAAATTAAATCATGATTCCCAGAAATAAAGGTCAGGTTTTGGGGCTGAAAATGCAGTTCAGTTGTTAGAGTGTTCACCTAACAACACACATGAAACCTAAGGTTCAATTCCCAGAACAACACAAATTAACACATGAGAGGTTGAGACACCAAGGTCAGACATTCGGTTGCTGCTGGAGAGGTGGACCAGCAGCTAAGAGCCCATACTGCTCTTCTAGAAGACCCAAGTTCTATTATTAACACTCTTATTGGACAGCTCACAAAAGCCTGTAACTCTAGGGGGTCAGATACTCTCTTCTGACCTTCAGAGACACTTGTATTCCCATGCATATATAACCCCATCCCTCTTCAACATACTTACGTAACTAAAAATAAAATAGTTTCAGGGTCATCACCTACTTCACAGAGAATTCAAGGCCAGTTTGGACGAGACACCACCTTGTCTCAAACAAACAGAAAACAACAGCAACCAAAAGATGTAGGTCTGTGGATGCCCATTGTACTGAGTGACAGTAGGAAGATGCCATCCTTTGAACTTAGAGTTTCTTTTCTCTGAGAAGATGAGGAGCTAAAGAAATGTTGCTGATTTTTCATGCTCTCTACTGCTCTCTTTCCCACACTCTTAAAAATGACTACTCAATTATCTGGCTAATTACAAGCAAATAGAATTGAGCCTCAGACCTGGCTAATGAAGAAAGAACATATAAGTGTTATATAAATTTTCTTTATTTAACCAATTCAGTCATAAACAACCAAGGATGATGCCCATTTATATCAAAGTTATTCTGTGCAGAGAGCATTCATTAACTCTGAACAAAACCTGGAAATTTGGGTCCTTCAGACTGAATCATTAAGATTTGAGTTCCTTAAGCTGGTTGACAGGCATGCATGAAAGATCATCCAGTGTTTTTCCTGATAATAGGAGAGAAAGCTCTATCTTCTTAGAAACACAGTTCTAAACAAAGGCAGGCTTTCTCTTTAAAATTGAAAACCTGGTAGCTGTAAACAAATACCAAGTTAGCATTTAGTTTACATATTACATATTCATTGTATATTTACATGTACATCCCTGCTCTTTCAATAATGAGAATTTATTAAATATACATGCATGAAAATTGACTGCCCCTGTAAGGAGGTAGATTAAATTAAAATCTGTTTAACATACCACCTAAAATGCACCAGGTCATGCTTTTGTTCAGGTAATTGCTGGAGATACAAAAGCAAACCTTTATGTGTGATGTGGGATTCCCCTCTGTATGCTGTGAATATGTTTTATTACCATTGGTTAATAAAGAAGTGCTTTGACTTATGGCAGGGAAGAATATAGCAAGTGGGAAATCCAAGCACAGTTAGAGGAAGAAAGAAGGTGGATTCAGGGAGATGTCATGTAGCTGCCAAAGGAGAAAGACACCAGAACTTTATTGGTAGGCACAGTCTCATGGTGATACACAGATTAATAGAAATGGGTTAATTTAAGATATAATAGCTATCTAGGAATACGTTTGAGCCATTGGCAACCAGTGTTTTAAATAACATAGTTTCTGTGTGATTATTTAGTACGGGATGGCTGGGAGACAAAAACACAGTCTCTGTTTGCATATGTGAATCTGGAAGCATTGCCTTCCTTAGAACTTTCTTGGTTCCCTCCCATGAGACTGAACACAACATGAGAGAAGACCAATGCGCTTGTGGATTATGCTCTTTTAGTCCATCCAGTGTACTGTGCAGGCTAGGAGTGAAAGACTTGAAGGAAAAGCTTCTGAACTAGTGATCTCTGCATCACTTTGCCAACAAAGAAAGGACAGTTTAGGAGGATGCCTGGATTGGGTGGACTTGAACCTAAAAAGAAGAAATTGCTGGTTGGAGAGGTAGAAGTAGGAGCAGGTGTCAGGAATGAGCTCTCCAGCAGCTGGTCAGATTATCTAGGTAGGGTTACAGAGATTTTGAAACTGGTCTACTTTCTAAGTAAATGGGCAAGAAGGTGAGAGTTTTATCATAGGATGCTGGATTTGGGCACTGAACATTGGAGAATAATTGCATATTAAAAAACAAAACAAAACTGAAAATTGAAACCCTTAATATTATTTAACCAAGAGAGACTCGTTTTAATAAGGATTTACTCAAGAGTGTTTTCAACCAAAAATAGAGTTTAGGGATATAAAAGAGTAGTTTACAAACTTGGAAAAAGCACTTGTCTCCTTAGTTCTGTTTCCCTTTATCACCAACTATTCAAGAAACAGAAAGCCAATGAAGCAGTGATGTGAGCTAGCGGCTTGAAGTCTTCACAAGGTGTTTTTGGTTCAAAGAACTCAAGATTAAACGCTCCAAGTTCATATGGATTAAATGGACAATTAAATGGGTTTTCAGCTGAGAAAAAAGCACAAAACTGTACTGTTATCCCTCCCAGACATGCCACACTGTACCTTTTCAATTCTGCTTTCCTGAGATTTCTTAAAGTAGATGGTGGGGATCCCGAGTTCAGAGGCAGCTATCCACTGCAGGGTGGCTCGGAGCTCAGCATCAGGACACTCTGGCTCCAGGTCAAAGTTGATCACCAGCAGGCTCCTCTGGGGGCTGGCTGCTTTCCCTGGCAGACCAGAGGCATGCTCTGCACAGACACAACCACAACGTCACTCTGCTTTCTGAAGCATCACTCCAGGCAATTGTGTGTCAAAAGGTTGAGAACATGGCTTACCCTTGATGCTTTCTGATTGTTCTTTAATAATCTCCTTTTCTTCTACTAATTCACTTTGGGAGAAAACAACAGTATATGATTGGTAATGCTTTGGAAGGAGAAGCTGTAATGGAAGATGAGGTGATGGGTCTTTCTACAAACTTCTGCAGTGCATTCTTAGGGCTTTCACAGAACAAAGTAGAACCATGTGGGTGTTACACAGGACAGCTGGGTCTGCCACCAGTGTTCCCTACCACCAAAGAGCAGTGCTGTGGACCTCAAATGGCATGCGTTAGGACAGTCAGTGGGGGAGAGTCTGAGGGTTACCTTTTTCATTTCTTTTCAACTCCCTTACCATGAACCTCCGCAGGGTCAAACAGTTAGAACTTTGAGGTAACTGGCTGTAATTTAGAGACTTATCCTTTTGCCTTTTTCCTGTCTCTCAGTGAACCACATTTTCCTTTTTTTTTTTGCCACAGTGTACTTCTGCATACTGTGACAATGATGTACATTTGAATTTTAAATTAGGGAAAAAGTTTTTACAAGCGTATTGTCTGTGAGCGGGAATAAGGACAACAAACTGGGAAACAGAGATAGAAACAGAATGTCTCAATAATAGTCTTTCCTCTTTTTCCATTCTTTTTTTTTTTTTTTTGTGGAGGCAGAGCAGACTGGAGGTGTTTTATAACTAGTGTCTCATAACTAAACCAAGCCTCTCTTTATCCACTGTCATGTTTAATATTGGAGGTTTTCTGCACAGCGTGTACTTGTTATAGAGCCCTGTGTGTAGTGGGGAGACCCCGTAAAGTCTCCTGAAATAAGGTCATTTATCTCAGTAGCTGAAAAGTAGTGACCCTTTTGGAAAGCCTGCAGAAGTCCTATATTTTTCTAGTTTCTAGAAATTTGGAATAATATTTTTTTTAAATGTGTCTTTTGGTGATAGATTTTCTTATATTCTCTTTTGCCGCTAAAACCTATCTCATTGTATGGGTAATTTCCATTAGTGAGGTAGACTTCATTCTGTGTGTGTGTGTGTGTGTGTGTGTGTGTGTGTGTGTGTATGTGTGTGTGTGTGTGTGTGTGTGAGAGAGAGAGAGAGAGAGAGAGAGAGAGACAGAGAGACAGAGAGAGAGAGAGAAAGAATAGCTATTCTTCCATTTATACCTAATTATTTCCAGGAATGTCAATTGTGTAAGGGCACAGAGCCACTGACCGATCTCTGCAAGTAGCACGAATGACCTTGATAAGGACAGATGCAATTTCTGATGTTATGTAATGATGGGCTGCTGGGTAGGGATGGAGGTGATCTTGACTTTCTTTCAGTGCCAGCTTTTCCTGAAGTTATGGTTTCATATTAAAAAGAAAGATGGAGATCATGGTAAGCAAAAATTAATCTGTCATAAAATATTTTTTGCTGAATTTGTTTTCAGTTCTCCTAAAAACAAAAGCATGTGTGTGTTTGTGTTTGCTTGTGAGTAATAAAACAATGAAGGGTTGTGGCAACCTCCAGTTACCAAAGAACACATGCATTCATTGGTGAATAAAGTATGAATCTATAGCTAGCCAGAGGGAAATATGTTAGGAATCAGCATTAGGGCAATGCAGCTTTATCAGTTTATCTGAATACCCAAATTATATTCTAAGTCATCATGACCAAAATTAGCATACAACTGAGTTAGTTTTCCAGAATAATCACAAATTCAAGCAGTAGTTATGACTTCAGGTTGCCCTCCTGGTCAGCATCATTTTATGTAGTCTCCATGCACTTTTCAGAGAAGTGCGCATTGAGAGAACTGAGTTGCTACATCTCCCTCATGGCAACCATTGGCATTAGAATCATCCCATATCATTAATCCCCCATTGTCCACAAGCAAAAGAAAAGCCACCCATATCCAAGTTTACTGAAATGACTGTGTTTTCTAGCAAAGGTTACTGAATAGTCTTCTGAGGGAGGCATGGCACAATTTGAATGGATTTTTTTGCTAGTTGTTTCTGTAAATCAAAATAGGTAAGATGATATATCTTTCTGATTATGTTGGTAAGCTTTATCTGCAATGGCTATTTTTTAAGGGACATGTTTGAAGCCAAGAAAGCAGACAGTGATTGGTTGGGTCCTATTCTAGGTCTCAGTCCTCCAGCGACATGGAACCACAGTGGCACAGACATAATGAGTTGGTGGTTGGGCACAACCTTCATGACCACGATGGAGTGCCAGATGGAATTGGAGTGGTGCTGCCAGGCACTGAATCACATGGCTACTTACTTAATCATGGGAGAAGATGGTATGCTTTCCTGATAAATGTCCAGGTCCATAATGCCAAGACTGCTAGTGGCACTACTGTTACCATTGCTGACAAAGCAAAAGTTTACATATTAATGCCTGTCACCACCCTTGGCCACCCTGCTGACACCGATGTTCCCTTGTAGAAAGGGCCCGTCATTGTTCTTGAGGGCACAATTGATTTGTGTCTGACCTTCTGTATTGGTATTGATGTTCAAATAAATTAAAGACAAAGTTAGAAGCCAAATATGCTTATGATAGTAATACTGATAGTGACTTGTAATTTCTCCAGTGGTAAAGAAAGAGGGTATTCATCAAGAAGACTTTTTGCTATTGGGCATGCTTATTCAGTTGAATATACTCCTGAAAATTTGGCTATTAAAAACACCCTAATGCTTATCTGTCTGCTCCTTGTATCTAGAAAGAAGCCAAGGAGCCACAGCCTCCCTTTGTTATATGGAAGATTTTTCTTAGGGGATTCCATAGAATTTTACAGAACAAACATTTGATTTCTTGTTTCCCTAGAGAACTATAGAATTTACATACAAAGTTGGGTAAGCTTTTCCACCTCAGAGAATGAGCAACATGTGACATCTGTGTCTCAGAGAGGAAGAATATCTCACATAATATCACTATTATAAGTTGCATAATCAACATATGGTTTACTTAGGAGCCTGGAATAAACTCTCTGAAATGTAGTACCATTGAGACAATTTTTAGTACTTGCAAAATAGAACCTATCCATTTTTTACCAGACTCACTGAGTCTCCTCACACAATCTGTATTTTCCAGAAACATCTTTCCCAAGCCGGGTTTTGCAGTAGTAACTTCTAGTGTGTCATGTAACGGGGCTTTGTTCCTTCAGGAATTGTGTGAGTCACCAAAAAGGCTCTCCACTTGAATTCTCTTATCTGAAGTTTTCGGCAAAACTAAAGGAGAAAGTTACAGCCTCAAATCTGACACTCAGTGTCCAAATATTGAAGTTATCATTTTTTAAATCTGTTTTCCAACATTTTGTGGAAACATTTGAAGTTTGGGACCACTTCTTCAATGTAAAATGTTCCTAAATCTTAGGTTGTACTGCCCTGCCAGAAATAGAACTTGGAAAATCCTTTTTCTATACTCAGGTGTTTTGATCTCACTTGGCAGCAGGCCTCTTTGGACAGTCTGGGATCTAAAGGGGGTCAAAAGGCTTTGTACACAAAAGATCACTTTAGCAGTTACAGCCAGATGCTCCCTTCTAGCTTTTCCAGAAGCCATACAGAGGACAGCGAAGATAAGGGAAGGGATTGGTCAGGGAGAACCCCACCACACAGTGTGGAGACACTTGGCTTTGTGTAAATCCAACCTATGTTGCATCTGAAATACGAATAAATCAGAAAGACAGCTCAACCTGATAAATTGTAACACTAGCTTCCATTAAAACAAACACACAGTTTTTAGCACTGAATGTTCTTGCTGTGACTTTTGAGAAAGAGAACACAGTTTACTCTTAAAGGTATCCAAGGTAATTCAAGCCTCAACTGTAACTAGATCTCATTCTCTCTCTCTCTCTCTCTCTCTCTCTCTCTCTCTCTCTTGCTTTCTTGCTTTTCAATTAAGGATACCTAGCACTGAACTATAAGAAACATTTTTGGAATCTTGATTGAAGCTGACTTATTAGGAAGTCAAGACAAAGAGGAAGAAGTACCTCATGGACCGCTCGCTGAGCTGCAGAAAGCTACTTGTGTCGTCTGGGTTGTCGTCCTCATTGGCCAGCTGGGACCAGCTTCCTGTACTCTCCTCGCTGCTGCTCGGAGGGTTGGGGGGTTCTTCCAGGGGCCTGGCTTCTTTCAAGACTTCTGCTTCTGATTCCTTTCTGTTCTTGAGGCTGTCACTGCAGACATCAAGACAATATTACCAAGAGAGGAGGTGCAACAGGGAGCTGTTCTCAGAGTCCACACTGGGCTCCCGTGAGCCTACATCTCCACACACCAGGCATGGTGTTGGATCTAGTGGAATTTTACTGTTAATGGTTGCTCCCTTTGAAGCTGAGTACCACTTTTCTTCTTGAAACTAAACTCCACTGGCTTTCTTATATCTTCCATTTAACACTGTTTACTAGATTTATTTGTTTTTAAAGTAGGTTGAAAGGAATCATTGAGGTATAGTGGTGTTTATCATATGTATTTATGTGTGTGTGGCAGGGTGGGGGTGTTAGTACACACATGCCAAAGGACCTGAGGAGGTCAAAGGGAAACTTGAGGGAGTTGGGTTTTGCCTTCTGCTTTATGTGCTCAGGCCTGGTAGCAAGTGCCCTCTGACAACAGTGGGGACAGGGATGGTGTCGTGGTATGTCTGTCTTTTGTGTGTTCCTCCCCTTAATAAAACTGGCTTTCCTTACCACAATATTGAAATTTGAGCAGGGTAAAAGAGAATGAATGATGTGGTCAAGGATATGGTGTTAGTTCCAAAAAAAAAAAAATGTAGGAATGAACTAAATACAGCAACAGAGGAGAGGTTCTGGCCTTTTTTATTCACCCAGTTGAAAAACAATTTTGGACCCAATTCCTTATTATACTATAGAAAAATTCACTGCAGGATAGTTCTTGCTAAAAAGGGAGCTGAGCCCTAGCGTCTGACATGGAATATCCAGGTTAACAAATAAGTCTGTCAGCACATTTTATTTTATCTCAATTTCATGCTCTGTTTACAGCAAGCCTCACATCTGTGCCATAAAATAGGAATTCAGAACCAGTAATGATTACCCAGAGTGCTACTTTTTGTTTGCTTTCGGGAGAAGCGTAGAGCCTCACTAATTGGCGGGTGAATGACACAGAAGCGGGGCGCAGATGTATGTCATCCAGCAGCCCCCATTCTGACCCCTCCGTTCCCATAGGAGCTTCAGAGGACTGTGGCCATGCCAGAGTCAGCTGTCCAATCTCCACGTTGAAAACAAGCCGAGTGTTCTGATTTTTATCTCACACGCCTACGCACCATCTGTGTCACGGTCATGAGATTTCCTTAGGTCAGTTTTTCTTTTAACATAACCCAACTGTGTTTATTTTAAGCCATCGTCATAAATGTAAAGTAGAAATCTCTCGGCCCAGGTAGAAGGCAGCAGATTGAACAGACAGCTGATGCCAGGTAGTTATGACCATAGGAAACCCTTAGGAAGAAGAAATGAGAGCAGACATTTTTACTTCTTATATATTTTATTTGAATGTTGAATGCATACAGGTGCATATACTCACCAGTCTTTGAGGTAAAAACAGCATAATTTTCTCCCTTGATTTTTTACAATCACCGAAACACAGTTCCATTTGATGATTTACTCTCAGCTAAGTTTTAAAAATTTAATTTGATAATCCTTTAAAAGATTTTGCTTGCATTTGTTTGTTTACTTTGTGTATGTTAGTGTGTGGGTGAGCCTGTGCCACACGTGGGTGTGAAGGTCAGAGGACAGTTTACAAGAGTCGGTCTCCCTCTGCTGTGTGAGTCCTGGGATCAAGCTCAGGTTTGACCCACGGAACTCTTGCACTGGTCCTGATCGTTTTTAGTTTTTAATGATGGACACTTAGTACACAGATAATAAGCTGTTCTGATTTTAAAAAAAGAAAACCAGAAACATTTTAAATTATAGACATCTTTCTTAAGAAGCATTACCATCATATCACAAATTTTAATAAGTTTTAATTTTAACAAATTTTAATAAATTTAATAAGTTTTCATTTGGAGTTAACTCTCCTTGTAATCAACAAATAATTTGCTAATTTCTAAATATAATGATGTCTAATTATTATGGAAGATTTTGTATAAATCCTTTATCATTAACTTTAGAGTTAATTTAAGCATGATCAGAGAACATATTCCTTATGTTCTAAATTCTTTTAAATGTATTGACTTCCTTTTTAGCATATGATACATCATGAAAAATGTTTTAAGTACATCTGAAAAATATCTATACTTTGCTGTTGGGGTAGGCTGCTCTTTTTTTTTTTTAATTGCTTTTATTGAGCTCTACATTCCTCCCTGCCTCTCCCCTCCCCTTCAATCCTCTCCCAAGGTCCCCATGCTTCCAATTTACTCAGGAGATCTTGTCTTTTTCTACTTCCCATGTAGATTAGATCCATGTATGTCTCTCTTAGCATCCTCAGTGTTGTCTAGGTTCTCTGGGATTTTGATTTGTAGGCTGGTTTTCTTTGATTTATGTTTACAAACCACTGAATAGTTAGTACATATGATAATTGTCTTTCTGAGTCTGGGTTACCTCACTCAACATGAAGTTTTCCAGCTCCATCCATTTGCCTGCAAATTTCAAGATGTTATTATTATTTTTTTCTTTCTGCTTTGTGGTACTCCATTGTGTAAATGTACCACATTTTCCTTATCCATTCTTTGGTCAAGGGGCATTTAGGTTGTTTCCAGGTTCTGGCTGTGACAAACCATGCTGCTATGAACATAGGTGAGCACATGTCCTTGTGGCACAATTGAGCATTCTTTGGTATATACCCCAAAGTTGTATTGCTGGGTAGGCTGTTCTTAAATTGTATAAACTAAGCTGATTGTGAATGTTGCTTCTTTTAGAATCAATATTTTAATAAGTGTTTGAGAATTTCATACAGTATATTTTGAATGTCTTTACCTTCCTCTTCCAATTCCCCACTTTCCTCCCTCTCCATCTTTCTATTTCTCCTTCCCCACTTTGAGACATCGTCCTCTTTTTATCCCTTCTTTTCCCATGAGTCCAGTTTGTTGTCGAGCTGGTCTTGGGAGTGATGGTGGCCCTGGTGTGATGCAAATAGGGTTGCACCAATAGAGAAATCCAGCACTTCCTCTCCCAGCAGCTCTTTAGCCAGGGGTGGGATTTCCCGTCTGCTTTCCCCTTTCTATGCTAGATTATGCTGTTATGGAGCAAGAGCTGGACTTGTGTTTGTTGTCCTATCTCTGAGTTCATTGCTTGCGTGTGCCCTATTGTCTGGAAACATCCTTGCTGTTGCTTCTATTGTAAATATATACACACATTTGTAGCATGTTTTTATATTTTTATTATTTCATGAATTACTAAGAGAAGAATGTTAAATTTCCAATATGGTACTGTGTCTAGTTCTCCTTCTAGCCTTTAAAATTACCATTTGATACTTTGTTACTTAGGTGGCTCTATATATAAGAGGACTGTATACTGGATGGATTGACCCCCATTAGCTTATAAATATCTTATAAAATTAAATATATTATATAAACTATATATATAGCTTATAAAATATCATTATCCCCAGTAATGCTCTGTATCCTGAGGGCTATTTGGCCCTTAAATTCTCTTGTTTTCCATCCTTTTACTCTTGACCCATTTGCAACTTTATATTTCAGATCATTTCTTCCACACAGCTTGTGTTAGGGTTTTGCTTTTTTATACAAAAGTATAATCTCTGCCTTTTAACTGAAGTTAAAAGTGTTTAGATCACGGATAATTAATGTGACTATCAATAAGGCTGGATTTAAATAAAAATCTTGTTTTTCTATTTGTCCCATATGTTCTTAGTTTCTTTTTAACCCTCACTCTAGATTCTTTTTATTTAACTGAGAAAGTTTTAGACTTTTGTTTTTAATCTCCACTATTAATTTACAATTATAGTGCTTTGTTTCATATTTTTAGTAGTTATTGTAGAATTTTTGGCATTTATACTCAGTGTATAGCTTACTGTCAGGTTACATTATAACAATGATGTTATGGAAGGCCTGTACACAACATATTTCTATTTTCCTTTTCCTGTTCTTTATGCCACAAATGTCATATATTTTAGTTTTTCATTTGCCATAAAATAAATACTTTCTACTTAAAATAGCATGTTTTGAAGAAATGCAAAATAAGATGAAAAGACTGTGTTTTGTATTAGTCTACCCTGTTGATCTTTGTGATTCTTTCTCCTTTATCTATAGTCAAATCACTGCTAATATTCATTTTTATTAATCTACACATTTCTGCTTACACTTATTACATAGTGGTATATTATCCTAGTGGTATGTGCTCTGAGATTTTGTTTGAACAAAATTTGTTTTTTTTTTGGTTTTATTTATTTAAATTTATTCAATATATGTTTGCCATAAAATATATAGAGAGGTCAGAGGACAACTTATAGGAATTAGTCTTCTTCTATTATGTGGGTCCAGAAAGTTAGATTCATGTTGTCAAAGTTGGCATCCAGCATCTGTACCCACTGAGCCATATCGCTTGTCCCAAAATGATTTTTATTTAATAAAAGCTAATATGCTTTATTCTTTAGAATATTAAATACTTATTCTATGTCTGTAGGCAGAGGCTGCTTATTTGTTTCCCTGCCGCCCTGACCTGAAATAATTGTACAGAAATTGTATTAATTATGATACTGTTTGGTCAATAGCTTAAGCATATTTTTAGCTATCTCTTACTTCTTAAATTAACCCACCTTTATTAATCTGTGCATCACCATGAGGTCTTGGCCTACTGGCAAGTTTCTAGCAGGCTCCCACGCGTGTCTTTCTTCTTTGGCAGCTACATGGCATCTCCTTGACTCTGCCTACTCTCTCTCTCTATCGTTCCAGCCTGCCTATATTCTGTTAAACCATTGGCCAAAAGCAGCTTCTTTATTAATCAATGGCAATAAAACATATTCATAGAATACAGAGGGGAATCCCACATTACCTCCCCTTTTCAGTCTAATTAAAAAGAAAGTTGTGTTTTTTTTTGTTTTTTTTTTTTTTTTGCAGTTCGAGAGGTTGTTTTTATTATGAGTTACTGTTACTTAAAGTTAACAAAAAAACGTTTGGGAAATTACAGAGTGAATATGGCTGGATGTCTTACAGGGCAAAGAGAAAAACCATCATCAGACAAAAACCACCCCTCTTTCATCTCACCTT